GGTCCCGACGAGTAGTATATTCCGCCGAGTTGCCGAGCTGAGCTCGGTGGGACCTTCCCTCCGAGTTGCGACTACGCCTGCTGTGCTGTCGCGCTGAGTCACCGTTTGAGTAAGGTCACACACACGTGTACCCATGCTACAAGGTCGGGCCAAATCACCCTCCATCAGGTTGGGTTCAAGTTGGGAAGATCGAGCTTTACTTTGGGCTCGAACCTTAAGCCTAAATTTTAGGGCCAGGCCTGAGTTTATCATAAACCTGACCCAACTTGTCCGACTTGCACCCCTAGCTACACAACGATGGTAGTCTGTCCCTTATCCCCTTTTGAATCTTCATGCTTAGTAGGGGCAATATTATACTTACATATATTTAAGGGTAAAATACAAAAATCTCCCCTAAAGTTTATGACATTAATAAAAACCTCCCCTATAATTTCATTGTAAAAAATACCTCCCCTAAACTTTTAAAAATTTAACAAAATCCTCCCTTCCATTATTGATCCAAACGGAGAATATATACACTTACAAAATTACCCCTGAAGTATCATTTAAAGATATCATAAAATACCATATTTGCCCTCCTTTTTATTCTACAATACTCTCTTCCACCGAGCTTCCATTGTTCTTCCTCTGAACCTAGAAGGCATTCATTTTTGTTACTGCAAAAAAGGGCTTCCTGCTAACTTGCATCGATGGCACTTTTTCTTTTTTCTTTTTTCTTTTTTTCTTTTTTTAGTCTCGTCATCAACCATGCAAGCAAATTCGAAATTTCGGATTTTGCCATTTTAGAAATTGATCTCAAATCGCCAAGTCTTAAGACTACAGACTTTGAAATTGTTGTGAAACTTGAGGCATTTCAGTAATTGATTCATGAATCAAAATTTTGAAGGTTGCCAAATTTGGAAACCAATTCCTATCTTTGTGGGTCTCTCCATTGTCTTTGAGATGTGTTTGGAAAAACAAAGAATTTGCTATTGATAAAATGACATCTAGAATGGCTTGAAACTTGACTATTGTTAGCATGCAGTGCATGGCATCTGTACACCTGGATCTCAAATTTTATTTGCAAATGTAGATGTTTATGGCAGTCCAATTGCCATTCAAAATTTTTAGACAAAAAAATACAAAGTAAAATAAAATGACCTATAGAATGATACAATCCCCGGTATGATTTAAAATGGTGTCTCACTTCTTCACTGCCTGAACCACAAATGGTGTCTCCCTTTACCTGTGTTATCCTTTCCTGAACCACAAAAAATGGTGTCTAACTTCTCAACCGGCATATGTTTCAGTGGTGAAATAAGTAAAGGTGGTTGATTTCACCATAAGAATCAATGGTGAAAGAATCACCGACAAAGAGTATAAAGATGCTCCTCTCTTCCTTAGTCAATGGATTGGGGTTTCGATCAGGACTCCTCTCTTAGAATCGGTGAAGTTTTCAAACAAGGTTACTCTGTCTTGGCATCCATGGAGTTTAGGGATGGGAGTTCCAAGGGGTAGGATAAAAATCTAAAGGGGGTGTTTGTTGAGTTTAAAATGGAGTTATTTAAGTAATTTTCCTATGTAAAATCATCTATAAAAGGGTATAATTGATATTTACAAATTTTGGTACATCAATTTAACGTTTTTTGTTTTGATTAGTGATGGAATGTAGGTTTTTGTTAAATTTCTCAAAAGTTTAGGGGTGGTATTTGTTATAATGAAACCATAGGGGAGGTTTTTATTATTGCTAGAAGTCTCAATGGAGGTTTTTGCATTGAACTTTGTTCAAAACAGAGTAGTTGCTGAAAGTTTAAATCTTAAACAACTTTTTATCTTAATTAGATTAAGAAAAAAATATCAAAAGAATTTTTATTTTGAGACTTTTTTCTAATTAATTATTTCTTCAAAACCTGTGTAAACACTTTTTCCTTGTATTGGGCTTTATTGGATTGTCTTCTCAATGTATCTCCATTCTTTGTTTTCCATTGTTTCCTTTAACATTTATCCATATGATGAAATCTTGGATAGGCATCTGTAGTAGAAAAAATAAAAGGGTTCCCATAATGAAGTAAGGGCATTACAAATCTTGCTTGTGGACAGATTCATTTTGAAAATTTGAAGAATTAGCAATGGCAAAAAAGACTTTTGGATGATTCAGTTAAATATAAGTCATAGGCCCTGTTTGAGAACACTTAAAATAAGTACTTTTAAGACATGGGATCACACATTAAGTGGTTTTTAAGTACTTACGGGTGTTTGGTAAAAAGAGGATAATAAGTACTTGTTTTTAAAGAAGTATTTATTTAAAAAAGTGACTTGAAATTGGTTTTTTTTTCCAGTATTTTTAAAGAAGTACTTATCCAAAAAATGGGACGAAACAGTCCTTAATATTTATTGTAATACCTAAAATACCCCTACTCTCATTCTCTTATTTCTCTCTCTCTCTCTCTCTCTCCTTGTCTCTATCTCTTTGCCAACATGATGTTGGCGGCCAGTGTACCGGCTGGCAACTGGGGTGTACCATCGATGTCGACGGCCGGTGTACTGAGCTTGATACCGGGCCATTGACGGCAGAAATAGTGCTGACCATGAAGTGGGGTCCACATGAAGTGAGGGCTAAAATTGTTATTTGTGTCAATATAAGCACTTATAGGGAAAATAGCTTACCAAACATCTCCACCCCAATAAGTGCTTAAAAATGTAATAAGTGAAGTGAAAAATGGATTACCAAACAAACTTAAGTAGTTGTTAAAATAAGTACTTTTAAGAAATACTTCTAAGAAATAAATATTTTTTTTAACAAATACTTAATCATCAAACGAATACTTGGTCGAGGGGAGGTTTTAGTATTTATGAAAAATACGAAGGGTGGTTTAAGTCTTTTTCCCTAAAAAAAATCTAGACACTTATTAGTGGGTATATAAACAGTATGGGTTTACGGGCGTCTTTGAATATCTCTCTCGCTCTCGCTTGTTCTTCCTAGGGTTTTTGGTTTTTGTGTTTTTCTATATCTATTTCTCTTCTTGCAGACTCGTTGAATAAACCCTAGTTTGACCTATTTTGGGCTCAAAGGTAAGTTATCAGAAAATGCTTACAAGGTCCTTTCTCAACTTCAGTTTTGCTGGAGCCTGTTCAGTTTTTCTCGATTGACACCTTGCAATTGGACTGCAGAAAATGGGAGAAACAAGAGAAAACGAGGCATACGAAGAAGAGCTTCTCGACTACGAGGAGGAGGAGGAGAAGGCTCCGGATTCCATTGGAGCGAAAGGCACCGGCGAATCGGCAAAGAAGTAAGTTTGGAGGATTTTCTGTTCATTCATTATCCGTTTCATTCTTACTTGCTAGCAGTAATGAAAAAAGCCTGTTTTTTTCCTAATTAAGAAGCTGTCACTTATGTTTTGTAAATTTGATAGATTTCTGTGTTTCATTAGTTTTCTAGTTCAGAAAATGTATGCGCCGCGTTCATTACCGTTGGTTTGAGAGATTCGATGTTTCGTCGTCTGACTTTTTCTAATTTTTTGTATCTCTTGTTTCCGGTGCCAGAGGTTACGTTGGAATTCACAGTTCTGGATTTAGAGATTTTCTTTTGAAGCCTGAGCTCCTTCGAGCTATTGTAGATTCAGGATTTGAGCACCCTTCAGAAGGTAAGCTGACAAATTGTTTATTTGGTTCTATAATTTTGGATGAAAAGAAAAGGAGAAAACATAAACTATAAAATTACGAAGCTTGATTTGCTTTGATCATTTACATGGATTAATTTGCCACTTTCTAGGACGCTGCTAACGACAGTTTGTTTGCTAAAGGCCATCTCGAAGCCCCAATGGACAAATCATAACTAATTCCTACCAAATTTAACCATATTCGGTTTAACATGTACTTGTGCTTCCTATGTGTCCATCATATGACCCACTTCGAAACATTGTTACATTCATCATTGCAATAGTTAAGTTAAGTTTGGACATTCCAATAGAAAAGCAGTCATTATGATAAAAATAGGATGCTTGATGATTTTATTGAACAGAAAAGTGCCTTATATAGGCAGTACATCTAACAACTTAGCAAATAGCTAGGGATTACAACTGGACTATTAATGTCTACGTAGGCCAAGTAAAACAAATGTAGAATAAACAAACTAATAACCACTTCCTAAATACTAGGACAGAGAAAACGATAAACTTGACAGCAAATAGACTTGGTCTAATGAAGACCATGTGACTCAACAATCCCTCCCTTAAACTGAAAGTTGTAAACTATCAGTTTAATGATGCAGCTTATAACTTTAAGCAGGATTCTCCAAAGTGGAAACACCAAGTAATTTCCTTAGCTTCACAAACGTAACCGTTTTGATGGATTTGGTTAGAATATCAGCAACTTGATTTTCACTTTTGCAGTAAATAAGATCAATGACCCCTTCCTTTGTGAGCTCCCTTAAGTAGTGATACTTCACATCTATATGTTTGCTTCTACCATGAAGAACAAGATTTTTTAGAGTGTTTGATAGAAGAGGTGCTATCACAATAGATTATTGCAGGTCCTTGTTGCTTGAAGCTGAGCTCTTCAAGTATTTTCTTCAACCAGATGGCTTGGTAGGCACATGTAGTGGCAGCTATAAATTCAGCTTCGGTAGTTGATAAAGTAACAATTGGCTGCTTCTTTGATGACCATGAAACAACCTCTGATCCCAGCATAAAAACATAACCAGAAGTGCTCTTCCGATCATCTAAATCTCCAACATAATCACTATCAGTGAACCCGATCAAATCTGACTTTTCTCCCCTTTTGTAGAACAACCCAAAATCAACAGTACCCTTTAAATATCGAACGATCCTCTTGGTAGGTAGGAGATGTAGTCATTTTGGATTTTCCATGTATCTGCTAATAAGACTCACATCATGCATGATATCTGACCTTGTTGTTGTCAAATACATCAAACCTGCTACAATTTGTTTGTAGAAAGTTCCATCAATCTTCTTTCCTTCAGGATTTTTCATAAGCTTCAACCCAACTTCTGATGGTGTGGTAATAGGATTGCAATTGCCCATTTGAAACCTGTTTAGAATGTCTCACACATATTTCTTTTGAGAAATAAATATTCCATCAACAGATTGCACTACTTCTAAGCCAAGGAAATAATGCATCAGTCCAAGATCAGTCATAGCAAATTCCAGCATCATGGACTTCTTAAAATTTTCCAACATGGCTTTATCATTTCCCGTATAAATCAAATCATCTACATATAAACATGCAATAAGCAATTTTTCCTCGTCTTCCTTTTTTGTGTAAAGAGTATGCTCATATGGACATTTTTGGAAGCCTTCTTTATGGAAATAAGCATCTATACAATTATACCAAGCTCTAGGTGCTTGTTTTAGTCCATGTAGAGCCTTTTTCAATCTATAAAGTTTATGTTCACTACCAACTTTTACATAGCCATGGGGGTTGATCAATAAATACCTGCTCTTGCAAATCTCCATGTAAGAATGCCGACTTCACATCTAGTTGGTAGATTGGCCATGAGTTTTGAGCAGCCAATGCAATCACTAATCTGATTGTATCATGTCTGGCAACAGGAGCAAAAATGTCTTTGTAATCCACACAACTCTTGTTTGTAGCCCTTGACCACCAATCGTGCCTTGTACTTGTCAATTTCACCATTTTCCTTCAACTTCGTCTTATAAACCCGCTTGACATCGATTGTTTTTTGCCCTTTTGGAAGAGTTGATAACTCCCAATTGTTGTTTCTTTCTGTGGATGCAATTTCATCATCCATTGCCTTTTGCCACTTTTCTTCTTTGACTGTTTATTCAAAAATTATAGGATCACAATCTGAAAATAGAGCAAAGTGTGTAAGTGGGTCATCAGATTGATCAATTCCAGCTACTTCATAATCAGTCATCCATGTAGGTCTTCTTCGTACACATTGAGGCCTTTGACCTTCATCTACTTCAGTTGTTGTTGCAGGTGGATTATGGACATCTGATGGAACATTTTGATTAGTTGTTGGCTGTTGCACATTTGCAACAGACTGCTGCCTTTTCTCATCATCTTCACCATCAAAATCTATTGGAATTTGTTGTGTTGAATTGTCACTCCATAGCCAAAACTTTGCTTCATCAAAAACAACATCTCGACTGATAATGATCTTCTAAGTGTTAGGATTATACAGCTTGTAAGCCTTTGTTTGATCACTAACACCAAGAAAGATGCATTTTTCTCCCTTGTCATCTAGCTTTCTCCTCTTTTCATCTGGAATATGAGCATATGCAATACACCCAAAAATTCTGAAATAATCAATTGTTGGTTTTCGTCCACTCCATGCTTCCTTCGGTGTCATATTTTGAACAAGTGTGGGGCTTCTGTTCAAAATATGAATGCTCCAATTGACTGCTTCGGGCCAAAAATTCTTTGGAATGCCGCTCCTCAGCAAAAGACTTTGCACCATATTCAAAATAGTGCGGTTTTTCCTCTCGCAAACTCCATTTTGTTGAGGCGTGTATGCTGCTGTAAGTTGCCTCTTGATTCCATGGATTTCACAAAAATTTTCAAATTGATGTGAGTTGTATTCCCCACCACGATCAGTGCGAAGTATTTTTATTGGGTTGCCAACTTCTTTCTCGACAAGCACTTTAAAATGTTTAAAGGCTGCCAAAGCTTCAGATTTTTCCTGTAAAAAATACACCCATGTTTTTCAACTAAAATCATCAATAAAGGTGATTAGGTATTTTTTACCTCCATTAGACTGTGGATTTATTGGTTCGCAAAGGTCAGAATGGACCAGCTCCAAAGCTTTCTTTGCTCTCCATGATTTTCCTTGCGGAAATTGATTTTGGTGTTGTTTGCTAATAACACATTCTTCACAAACTTGTTGAGGGCATTCAATATGAGGAAGCCTGGTCACCATATTTTTCTGTTGCAATGTCTTGAGTCCACCAAAGTTTAGATGCCCATAATGAAAATGCCATAGCCATGCCACATCTTTCAATCTTGCAGATAAGCATGGATGAGCAGTATTGTGGAGATACAATGGGAACATTCAATTCGCGGTCATGTTGACTTGAGCAATTACGCCCAACTTTTCATCTCTAATTTGACAAACTCCACCTTTAATAGACACCTCGTATCCCTTTTCTTGCAATTGACTGATACTTAACAGGTTGGTTTTCAAATCTGGAACAAAAAGGACATTGGAAATTGTTTGAGTAGCACCTCCTTTGGTTTGAATAGTTACCTGTCCTTTGCCCATGACCGAGACTTTAGAGTTGTCTCCAAACTTCACATTATCTCGAAAGGATTCATCTAAGGTAGAGAATGCGGACTTGTCTCCACACATATGATTGCTGCAGCCTGTGTCTAGGTACCACAAATTCTTATTGGTCTCTTCTTTTGCATGACAAACCATCAACAATGATACTTCTTCTTCCTTTTCTGCAAAGTTAGAGTTCTCACCATGTCCATAGGACAAATTAGTTCGACATTCTGATTGATAATGCCCATATATATGACATTTATAGCACTCAACATTAGACTTATTTGCGGATTTTGGTTTATAAGTAGTTGATGATGGCCTCCTCTTCCTCTACTCCTTCCTTGAGGTTGATTATCCTGGTGCTGGTACTGTTGTTGATTTCCACGATCATGGTTTCCTCTGCCTCTGCCTYTACCACGTCCTCTATCAGCTCTACTTGGTGTAGAATGATTTTCGGTTGAGGCCTTCAATGCTTGCTCCTTTTCTTGTTGATTAACTTTCTGCTCATGTACCAACAAAGATCCTTGTAGTTCATCAATTGAAAAATTGTCAAGATCTTTTGATTCTTCAATTGAACAAACCACATAATTGAATTTTGGTGTCATTGAGCATAGTATTTTCTCTACAACAGTTACGTCCTCAATCTTTTTACCATGGACACACATCTTGTTGATAATTGCCATTGCTCTTGAGAAAAAATCAGACACAGACTCTCCCGACTTCATTCGAAGCATTTCGAACTCTGAGCGAAGTGCTTGAAGCTGCTGCTCTTTTGCCTTCGTTGATCCATGAAATTTTTTCTTCATAGAATCCCAAATCTGCTTGGACGTTTCTTTGTTGAGAATAGTCTCCAAGATTGAACGATCAATTGCTTGAAAGAGGTAGTTCTTTGCCTTCAAATCTTTAAGCTTCAGTCCTAGTTCTATTTTTTGGGCATCTGTGAGTGCTCGGCCATTTTCAGGTGCTGCTACACCAGACTCTACTACATTACAATACTCTTTAGACCTCAAGAAATTTTCCATCAACATGCTCCAATGGTCATAGTGACCATCAAAACGTGGAATGGCAGGCTGCACAAAATTATCGGAAGCCATCTGATACTACACAAAGGAACAGGTGAAATAAAAACAAAGCTACTGCTGTACGCACTCCTATCTCACCTACACTCTTTCCTTTTTTTTTGACTCTTCCTCACTTTTATCAGGTGGGGCTTTACTTTCGAAAATGGCTCTCAAAAAAAACTCACTATTTTACTGACCAAGGTCTGATACCACTGATAAAAATAGGATGCTTGATGATTTTATTGAACAGAAAAGTGCCTTATATAGGCAGTACATCTAACAACTTAGCAAATAGCTTGGGATTACAACTGGACTATTAACGTCTACGTAGACCAAGTAAAACAAATGTAGAATAAACAAACTAATAACCACTTCCTAAATACTAGGACAGAGAAAACGATAAACTTGATAGCAAATAGACTTGGTCTAATGAAGACCACGTGACTCAACACATTATGCAAATGGAATACACTTGCGGCTTTATTGGATATTTATTGGCGCAAATTGACTCATCCACTCTTACTTGAAAACATGAAGCCTTTAATGGTGTATTACATGTTTGTAGATTTCTTATTAACATTGGAGGTTATTTGTTGGTTACATTTTCTTCTGACATGATTTAGTTGTACTCATGAACTGTTTTATTTGCTGACTTCAGGTAATATACTATTTCCATTATCCTGATTTTGGAGGAGAAAACTTGTTGGTAAACCTTTCCATTAAAAGGATCTGGAAGATCATTTGTTTCTTACTGAGGTTCCTAGACTCCAATTTTGTTTGGTTCTCCACCAGTGCAACACGAGTGCATCCCTCAGGCCATCCTAGGGATGGATGTCATCTGCCAAGCAAAGTCTGGGATGGGTAAAACTGCAGTGTTCGTCCTCTCTACCCTGCAGCAAATTGAGCCTGTTGCTGGTCAAGTTGCTGCGCTTGTTTTATGCCATACGCGGGAGTTGGCTTACCAGGTTATGGTCTACCTCTTTGTTGTTGATGTTGTGGTCTAAAGCCGATTAGAAAAACCTTGCAGTCTAATTAAAGTGACTGCTTTCTCTGCATTTTGTGAATTAAAGACTTCCAGTCTACTTCCTAGTTCCTACTAATACTTGTAAACACTGGCAGATTTGTCATGAATTTGAGCGTTTCAGCACATATTTGCCTGACCTTAAAGTTGCTGTCTTCTATGGTGGTGTTAATATCAAAATCCACAAGGAAATGCTCAAGAATGAGTGTCCTCATATTGTGGTTGGCACGCCTGGAAGAATACTTGCTCTAGCTAGAGACAAAGACCTTGCATTGAAGAATGTGAGGCATTTCATCCTTGATGAATGTGACAAGATGCTTGAATCACTTGGTATGATTTCATGATTTAAGTTGCTTCATCGTGTGATCTGCAACCTCACAATTCATATATGTATGCCCTTTTTGGCTGTTTCATCCCATGGTTGTTTTATGTAGACATGCGGAGAGATGTGCAAGAGATTTTCAAGATGACTCCTCACGATAAGCAAGTGATGATGTTTTCTGCGACACTCAGCAAGGAGATTCGCCCTGTCTGCAAGAAATTTATGCAAGATGTAATGTTTTATTGCTACTGTACCTCAAAATATAATCATAGTTGAATAGTAAATACTAAATAGCTTGATATTTAGGTTCTCTGTGTTACTGTTTCAAGGTCCTGAAAATATAATCATAGTTGAGGGTTACATTTAACTGTGTGCAAGTGTGCCTAATCAGAGGTTGATCTCTATAGATTTTTAGCTTGTAGGGGGTTACCTTCTTAAGTTCATCAGGTTGGTTGTATCTTTTAGAGGCATGCATTCTGTAGGCTCCGTATTTCTTCATGTGCCTCCTTATTTCTATAGTTTCACTTAGGTCGCAGATTTGTGAAAATGGTATAAACTCTTCTTGAGATGATAAGTGAGGTGCACTCATGGGTAAATAACAAGTATCAGTAGTGGTACATTTCATTTCAAAACAGATGGACTGGAACTGGAATATAGAGTTTGTGTGTTTGTGCCAGTGATTTAAAAGGCGCGCCTAGGCGCACAGGCGAGGCATATGCCTGGTGCGCCTAGGCGTGCCCAGGCATGTGCCTTTTTAAACTTTTGTGCTTTTTTGCTGTTTTTTGTGCCTCAGCTCAGCCCACGCCCCATTTTGCCAATGTTGTTGATTCATTCATTGCAATAAAATATCTTCTTAAAAGGCAATGAAAGTTATAAAATCATTATTTTTTATGTGAGAAATAAGAATTTCAGACCCTAACATAGACTTGTTTGGGCTTGCCTCGAGGGGTGTGGTACAAAGGCGACTCATAGAATAAAGAATGCAATATGTTTTACATCACATTAGCTACTTGATGCAATTAAGGAGAAAAAGAGATTGTGGGTTTTACATGCTTGAAAATGCTTTATATGTTTGCTTTTATTTTTAAATTTTCATTTGAATACACTTTACATGTTATGTTTATGTATTTAAATTTTAGATAATAAGTTTTTTAAAACATTTATATTAAAATTTAAGTTTATATTTTTTATTAACATTATGCTTAATATTTTTTGAAAATTTTGGCATTTTTTTTGACTTTTTAGCTTTTTTTTTGTAATTTTGTGCCTTTCTTAAAAATGTTGTGCCTCGCCTTGCGCCTTGCTCCACAGGTGCAAATTGGCCCTTGCACCTTTTTTGCGCCTTGCGCTTTTAAAACTCTGGTTTGTGCATCATTCTTCTGGTTATGGGTTCAATTAGCTTTAAGGATTTGCACCTAATCTGCTTTGATCTGACATTTGTTCCTTTTCAGCCGATGGAAATTTATGTAGATGATGAAGCCAAGTTGACACTACATGGTCTTGTGCAGGTAGAACTTGTAATCAGGATATCGTTTGTATTTGTAATGCATATTTTCTTTTTTTTTCTTCACCAATTTATAATTTTTGCTGGCAGCACTACATCAAACTGACTGAGTCAGAAAAGAACCGCAAGTTGAATGATCTGCTTGATGCATTGGATTTCAATCAAGTAGTTATATTTGTCAAAAGTGTTAACAGAGCAGCTGAGCTGAACAAATTACTTGTGGAGTGTAACTTCCCATCCATCTGCATCCATTCTGGAATGTCACAGGAAGAAAGGTTTGTCATTATGTTGGAAACCTGGTGCTTTTTCTTGTAGTAAACAACTAAACTTGTTTGCATTTCCATATAAATTTCTAGCTTCTGTTGGTTACTTTTTTCTCAGTTAATGACTTTCGTGCAATGTGTGTGTTCCATTAACTATTAAAAGAAACAAACAAATACCATTTGATACCTGAAGCCTTAAGGGTTGTTTGACAACATGGTTGGTTTTGTTTTTGAAAACAAAAACAACTCCTATATCAGCAAAAACAATACAATTTTGCTGATGTGGCAGTTGTTTTTGTTTTCAAAAACAATACCAAACATGTTGTCGAACACCCCCTTAGTTGTTGCGGGTAGGATCTCGACAAAATGTCCTCTAAACAAGCAACAAGAATACAACTGAACTGTGATTCTTAATACTAAATAGAATGAAAACCAAATTCACAAATCAACCTCCAAGGGTAGGAATACAAAATGTCTAACATCAAGCTAACTACAGGAGTAATGAAACCGAGTGATGGATAAACATGCTGAGAGCTTCAAATGCTTGAATAGTTGAGTTCTTGAAGCACTTTGGTATGATCCAAATCTGTTTGCTTTCACTCTTACTTTGAAATTGTTTTATATGCTGTGCTTATGTAGTTTGACTTGAGCTAACATGTTTTTATAACATTTATTTATTTATTTTTTAATTTATACATGCAGCATATTTTGTGTTAATTTTTTTTATCAAAGCTTTGTCACTTGCTTCATCAGGGTGTTAAAAACAGTGCTTCCCGATCCACTGACGCACACACACACAAAAGAAAAAGAAAAAATATACATCAACGAATGGTGATACTTACTGTCTATTTTTGACACTGTTTTGTTATGCATGTTTTGGATAACTTTAGTGTATAGTGAATATGGTGACATGTGTGGAAATATGTTCTTTTGACTTTATTGATAGAAGCTTATTTACTCTCAGTACCTCATAAATCATTTTTCCTTTTGCAAGTTTGGATCAAATTGTTATTCATAAAAAGAAAGTTTGGATCAAATCATATTACAGTGAAGCTCATGGCAATTAATTGAATTTGGATTAGGCAATGATGGCATTCTATGAGAATAGAGCTGTTTGAGTTTGTTGAAAGAGAAAAACCTTCAAAATGATTAGATTTTTATTTAAACAAGAGATTGTAACACCTAAGAGGAGCAAATTTTGTCTTGTTATCTAATTCAATAAAGCTGATGGTGTCTTTATTGGTAACTCTTAGCCATGCATTCCAGCGGTCCACCCCCCTTAACTTGACTCATTCAAGTGTAGGGGCTTCCATATTTTCTTGTCATTAATAAATCCTTTTTGATCATTGGTTGCTGATATAAAAAGAGGTCCTGAGGTTTGGAAAATCTTTGAAGCAATAAATAAGTAGTTACTCAAGTAGGTGTATGTTTAGGCAAGCCATAATATGGTTAAAAAGATACAAGTATCTCTTCTCTTCTCTCTCTCTCTCTCTCTCTCTCTAGGATGGGATGAGGGAGCTGGGGAGATTCTGCACCTCAGGCACAGGACCGCCCTCATGTCCTAGGTGCTTCACCTCCATTATGTAGGTATTAAACTTTGTTTTCTGTTAAATGATATTCTGTCGGGCCAAATTGTAGGTGTTTTTTCCTCTTTTGGGAAAGTATAGCTATTATATTTGATTTGAGAGTTAGATCTGCCACTAAAAGAATTTTTTGTAAGTTGGTTGGTAAGATGATAAAGGTGTATATCTCATCAAATCTTTCTGAAACGGGCTTTGGTATGTGTAGGTTGACACGGTACAAGGGTTTCAAGGAGGGGCACAAAAGGATTCTTGTGGCAACGGATTTGGTTGGCAGGGGAATAGATATTGAACGTGTAAACATAGTTATCAATTATGACATGCCTGATTCTGCTGACACATATTTACATAGGGTTTGTTCATCATTTGCTTCTTTCATTTTCTTTTCTTTTCCTGTAATCTCTATTATGATGGCCTATTGAAATCTAACTTTTTTTTGCAGGTTGGTAGGGCTGGTCGTTTTGGGACCAAGGGACTTGCAATCACTTTTGTATCATCTGCTGCTGACTCTGATGTTCTTAATCAGGTTTGTTTGCTCTTCCATGGTAATGTGTTTCATAATCATTTTGTCTCTTTGGCTCCGTTTGTTTGCGATACAAATGCCGAACCGGGGTATTTATGTACTCCGGTTCGCGTTTGCGAGCGTTTGTTTGATATGTAAAAAAGTAATGATTATCAGAGCAAAAATGTATTTTCTGACACTTATGTACTCTGGGAAGAGAGCATTATTGTACCTATTTTTTGGATACAATTATGTGTTTAACCTTTTGACCAAAGGTAAGGCATCGGAGCATAAACGGTTTAAAATGTGAACCGTGTTTTGCATTCATGAACCAAAAAATGGGTAAATATGTAGTGTACATATTTGCGTTTGCATTGCAACCAAACTCAGCCTTTGTTACAGCATGTGTGATATGTTCTCTTGTTTGCATCAATCAACCTTGTGAAAAGCAAATACTTCGGTGATTATTGGTTCCATAACGTATGGCTGGGCTATAAATTGCCTAAAATAAGAAACTTGATGCCTACCTAGTTTGGTTTTCAGGTTACTATCCTATGGCCTAGTTTGGTGATACAAAAGGTTGTATTGTGCATCTGTAAATGAGCACTGCATTAGTAAGTTTGCACGGAAATGCTTTTGTAATTAACCTTGTTGTTCCTTGCTTGACACAAATGGTTTATGAAGTTTTTCTGATTATAAACTGGCGTTAACCATTTTCTCTTTATTCAGTATACTTTGGATCAATGACTAAATGCAAATGCTTATGGCATTTTTCAACTTTCCTGATCCTGATTTTGATCAATTTGAGGATTCTGAAAATTATTTTCTAGTTTTCTGGTCAATATTTAATTTAATTACCTGTGTGAAGAGTGCAATCTTCTCTTTCACTTCCCTGAATTTATCTCTACTTGGAATTGGAAGATGGAATCTATAAAGAGAGTTCCAAGCCCTCGTGTTGAATCTATGGATAAAGTCATTTTAGTTAAATTTTTAGAAAAGAAATAATGGAATAAAAGTTTGTTTTGAATTATAAACTGGTGTTAACCATTTTATCTTTATTCGATGTGCTTTGGATCTATGACTAAATGCAAATGGTTATGACGATTTTCATGTTTCCTGATCCTGACTTTGATCAATTTGAGGATTCTGAAGATTATTTTTCTAGTTTTTTGGTCAATATTTAATTTAATCACCTGTGTGCAGAGTGTGATCTTCTCTTTCTCTTCTCTGAATTTATCTCTAGTTGGACTTGGAATAAAGTCATTTTAGTTAAACTCTTAGAAAAGAAATAATGGAATAAAAGTTTGTTTTGAAGTTACATGCTGACAAGAGTGTGTGTTTCCTTTTCTCATTTTTCTCTCTTTTAAGTTGTTATTCTTTCTTCTTGCTCTTCTCTATTCTTTTATATATTTTAGAACCAAAACCATTTGACCTCCATTTTCTTTCAATTACATCAGATCTGAATTACTTCTTTGCCCACGATATAATAATTTACACCCTAGTGGTTTTTTTCAGTAGAATCATACATCATCTATTTCATACTCTTAGTCATAGGTAGGGTGATGTCTAGCCTTTTCTTTTGTGTTTTCTTTTCTGTGCTGTCTGAACCAGTGATGTTGCCAACCGACAATTTCATACATTGAAGGATTTTCAGTGGATGGTTAAGGTCTTTAAGTGGTTTGTGTTGTGGTTTATTGATCTCAGATGGAGGATTTTTTTTATGAATCCTGGCTTTCCAGAACTAGAATTCTTTGTGACTCCTTTTGGGGGGTGGAGTTTTGGTCTTCTCATTTTCTTTGTTTCTTTCTAATATAGAATTTATATGTTCTGATATATCAACAAGATTTATATGCTACATACTTTTTTAGTACTCAAGAAAATGCTGAATTCTGTCTGTAGCAAAACATGCTGAAATCTGAATTTGACACTAACCACTTGTGATAAACTGGGCATATATTAAGTGGAAAGGCAAAACAGCGGCCCCATTTATAATGATAAAGGTTATGGTGATTCTGTGTTTTAAAGCTCTTATATTTTTTATTAGTTTTGGTATGCCTCATCCTTGGGGCATTTGATCCCTTTCAATGTTTGTTAAAGTAAATAAAGGGTGATTGCGGTGCATCCCAATTTTTTGACCCAAGGTATCTTTTAGCACATTGCAGGTTCAACATGTTGCCCTTTTGTTATGTTGGGATAACGATATGGGTGCCAAGTATTTACGTGTCTGAAGGATCTAACACATCAACCTCTGAAAAGTCATGGAACAGGGCATGTCATAAATAATATTTAATTGATTAGACAATTTATGACATTAGTAAAAATAAGATCAGAGTGTTGACACCCTTACATAGTATCTTTGCTTACAAAAGTTAAAATGCGAAGTTTTGTTGCTGAACTTAAGCTTGTAGCATGATCAGATGTTACAAGAGTTTTGACGAAGTTACAGGTGCTGATACTTTGTCCAAATGTTGGCATTGGCCGACCCTCTTGTTTTCAAGCATATATAACCTTGATATTTAGCAGTCACTTTTAGTTTGCAAAGACTAGGCAGTTATTTATGTGACTACTAATGTCCATTGTCTAGCTAGCTTTTCTGACAAAAATATTGATCTACCTAATTTACACATAACCTCATCTTTTTGGTTGTCTACTGCAGGTTCAAGAGAGGTTTGAAGTGGACATAAAAGAGCTCCCAGAGCAAATAGATACATCCACATACAGTAATTGTTTTTACCTTCTTTGGTTGCTTTTATGCCTTTTCACTGCTCGTACCTTTCTCCTGGACCTGTTGATCTATGTCTTGCTTTTGGATGATAACAGCTGAAATGGCTGAATTTTGGTAGTTGGGCTCTTTAATGGCTGAAGGTGCCAAGGCAAGGCTAGGCGACTGGGGGGCGCCTTGTCGCCTAGTCGCCTAGGCGATGGATTTTTTTTATGTTAAAAACGTAGGTCCTACGGTGGTTCCCTAGGTATCATAATCATATTTTTTTAATATTTATTCATGATTTTCATAATATAAGTATAAATTTCATATTAAAGTATAGAAAATCAACATATTTATGAGAAGAAAAGGAAGAAGGAAAATAAAATTCAAAAAATATAGGGGCTGAACCCTTATTTTTGTTATAGGAAAAGAAGAAAATAAAAAGTATTGGTAGTTTTAGAAGAAGAAGAAGAAGAAGAAGAAGAAGAAGAAGAAGAAGAATATATGGTAGAGGAAAATGTGCTGATTAGATAAAATTTTAAGTTCTTCCTTACTTATTGGTTCAGGTTTTCAAGTCTTTGAGGGTTCAATACAGCATTTAGCAATGTTCGTGTTGATTAAACCCTAATATATAAGAAAATAATAAAAATAAATTAGTATATAAACACACAAAATGATTATTTTAGTTTAATAATATCTATTTTATAATTATAATCTCAAAAAAGAATGAATAAAAAAGTATTTTATAGTAGGAAGTAGAATACTGCTTGGCGATTAGGCAAGGCGAACCTCAAAGGGCGCTTTGTTGCCTAGGCGTCGCCTTGATAACTATGCTGAAGCTTTTAGGTTGATTACAATTATTTGTCTTCTAGAAGATACAGTAGTAACTCATTCAGTTCTGCTACTCCAGCGTATATCAAACAGAGTCCGTAACAAGAATGGTTTATGGGGATATCTAGTTGGATTGTAGCTTCTCTTAAAATGGCATGGACTGATGGTGTTAAAATGTTTTAGTACTCTACCCTTTTTTATATTGTTTTTTGTTTGTCTTTTTGTCTTTTATTTATGCTTCTTGGATTTTATTTCTAACTGTTCTCCATCTGCTACTTTGCAGTGCCATCATGAAGGCGCTCCAGTTCTCGTCATCTTATTCTTGCCTTCTGCAAATGGAAGGAGCGCACTTTGCTCTATTGGTTCTGTCTAGTAGACCTATAACCACTACAAGACACAAATGCAGTTTCTTCATACTGACTGGTAGTTTTGTCTCCTATGTGCAACTGCAACCTGAGGTGGGCTTTGTGACAATAAAGTTTTGCCAAATGTCCTCATCGTGTAAACTATGTTTTTTTGTTGGGAATATGCTTGGTTCAGAATTAGGGAGCCGTTGGTTTAATCATTTCTGATAAATACTTAGAGATCCAAGTCCAACTGGTCTGTTCTGATTGCAAAAACAAATAAAATAAACTGCACGTTAAGTCGTTAAGGCACAGTAGGTTATTTGTGTCTGGGGCTGGGGGTTCCTTTTACTGAAGTGAAAGAACTTGTTGAATCGGCGCTTACACTTGAACCCTTTCCTCGTTTAAATGACTGTCGGGGATTGCTGTTTTTTACATGGCCGAATTTTATGTGCGTGTAATGGCCGAATTCCGTATAATGTGTTGTACAAACAGACCTACATACGAGTGGCGGACAAGTGAATGTCAGACTTGGTAGAGGTACAATCGTAACTATATAGATGCTGAAAATATAATATTTTACTAAATATAGTACATGCAAATAAAAAAGTAAATTAAGACGTTTAAAATTGGGGTTTCTAGCAGATGAAGGCAACGTTTTGCCTTTAATATTAATAAAAAATAATATTTTTATATTAACTAAAATAGAATAGCCGTTTTGGAAAAATATCAAAAAGGGCAGTGGTGGTCGTCTTCCTACTCTGCCTCTGTATACAAGCGAATGGATCAGATTCCGGTTGAGTAATAACCAGAAGTGCTCTTTATGTCCCAGAAATCAAACCGGCGGCCGTGTCCAAGTGTTCATTTCCGATGACTCATAGAACCTTCTCAGTCCGCAATGCTTGCCATAGGATCATAAGATTCTGGCCATTCCTTATCGTTTTCTCATGGTGTGCAAAACGGGATACGAGCGGAGGGCTCATCCCTTTCCGATGCCGTCGGGGTGTTCTGCCCAAGTTTCATCGGGTTTTTCTCACGTGCACAGTGCAAGTCTCGCCGGCGTTCTGTCATGGCATTCTCACGAGCGGAGGGCTCAATCTTTCTAAAACTGCTTCCGATATTGAACCTGGAAGTCCCTTGATTGTCTTGCTCTGTGCAGACTAAGAGTGATTCCACGTCACGGCGAAAACACCCCACCACCGGTTTGCTTTCTGGAACGTGAAGAGCATTTCCGGTTATTACTTGGCCGGAAGGCAAGAGGAGGAAGACGAGCAATAGTGTCACATTTCCCTTTCTTGATATTTTTCCGAAAAAACTATCCTATTTTGATTAATGTATAAAAATATTATTTTTTAATGATATTAAGGGCAAAAAGTTGCCCTTATCCGCAATTATTTTAATAAAATGCATTGAATTCTTTTGATCTACAATTCTAAAACACCCCTATATTTTACAACTTTATTGTTGGTTCTGTCCATATTATCTAGGGAATGGTAACGTAACCTTTTTAAAGCCAGTGGAAAATGTGAACTGACATTGATTAATAGTTCTCGTTATCATCATTTTAGAAACAGAAGACTCCCTTGTTAGAATTTGGTTTGGAGAAGTCATGGAGTGTATTGAATCTATTGATAGTGGTATTTTTAGAAACAAAATCCTCCGGTGTACGTGATAGTGGCATTTTTTAGAAACAAAACCCTCCTCCAGGGTTTGCATAACTGATGAATCAATTTTTTGTGTTAAGTATCTCATTATTGGGTCTGCTTCCAAGTGGCTGATGACTCAGAGGCCGAAGTTGAGAATTTTGCTGGGTGAGGATCTGGATGCCGAGCTGGGGGCAGTCTAGGTGTCGTGTTGACTGGGCCAAGCTGACCAGAGGGTCGAACTGCATATTAGGTGCCGGGCTGACTGGTGGCGAGCTGGATTGATTGTTGAGCTTCGTAATTCTTTAGAGACCTATAAGGAATCAATGTCAAAGGACCCGGGGTGGCTAACCCGGCGAGGTCGCTTCGATGCTTAAGTCAGTACTCTCATAGTATACTGCGAGCTAAAAATCATAAAGTATGAGAGCTAGAATATGCTTACTTGCCCCATCATGTCATTGGGGTTAGTGCCTTTATATAGGCATTGTTTGGCGTGGGCTTCATGCACCGTATCCGAGATTTCCGCGAGGTCGTCTTAGTGGTTCGAGATTCCCGGAGGCAACCGCCATGCACGTTGACCACCCTCCGGAACGTTCGATACGTGGGACAACTTCCAATGATCGTGGGAGTGTTGGGATATGCGTGCCGAATTTGTCAGCGAGCATGTCTCGCAAGTCGCCACCTGGACCTCAGTCAAGCCGGCACTTCCTCGAGGGAGGTCACTCCTTGCGTCGAGGTCACTTCAGCCAGTGACGAGGTGCTGCAGGTCAGCCTTGGACGAGGTGCTTCTAGCCGACTTGAGTTGTGGTCGAGGTCGATAGTTCGGCATAAAGGTTGATCGCCAGGTTAGCGTGAGTGCCAGGTTGTCAGGTTAGCGCCTGTGCCAGGTCGCCAATTTGGGACACCATCATCTTGGCTAAGTTGTTGCATAAGTGGTTCTAGGTGTCACCCAGTTGTTCCCAGATGCCACGTGTCACGGTATCATTGGAGGGCCAAATCTGCCCTCATCAATAACCATTCAACCAGTATCATAAATGTGCCAAGTGCTAGAGGGGGTGGTGATTGTTCAAATCTCTTTTAATATCACACATTCCTTCTTTGATAGGCCTGTTCATGGGCTGAGCTTGGTCTTGGCTTTTGCCAAAACTTAAATGGACCTGGCCTTAAGCCTAAGCCTTACACAGTATAAAGTCAAGCCCGTGAGCAAGTCTAGATACCACTATTAATTTATCAAAAAATAAAACATTTGAATATACTCTATTTTTTTTTTAGAAATTGAATTGAATATACCCTTTCTTCTTCAAATTGGCTTGATATACAGTTGACCCCATTGGAATTAAACATAAATCTGTTCAAGGGATGGGCCCGGCCAGGCTTTCCTTCTATTAACAGAAAATGACCAAGCCCGAGATCAAGCCTGTCTCTTATATAAAGCCCAAACCCAAGGGGGCTAGACTTGAGCTCAGAGTCCGATTTGGACAAATATATTGTAATATATTTGTTATATATTATATATATTATTAGGCTGGACTTATTTGAAAAAGCCCGTTTGTCTAAAATTTTCCAAAGTTGAATAAACCAAAATTTTAAAAACGAATTAAAGACAAATCAAAACTGAAATAACCAAAATAATTTTTTTTTAATTCAATTTTCGATTACTTTGATTATCAAATTTTGATAATATATATTAGATGTTACATATTATATAATATATACCAAAATTTGGTTAATGGATTTCTAACTCTAAAACCCAAAATCAATATTGAAATATTCAAAAACTGAATTAATCAAACTAAATTAACCAAAACTTGAAAAACCAAACAAAAAAATCAATACCAAAATTTTTTTGTTTAGTTTTTCAATTTTAACCGAATAATACTTACGCCTACCTGGCCTACTGGCCTAGCCGGTCGGATTGCCCGGCCCGTCAGTCCGTCACCTGGTTTCCCAAATGTATTTACGCCCTCCATCCCCCGTGAATTAGAAATCCCCGCCTCTACCCCTTACACCGACCCGAACCATAAGATCGCATTAGAATTCTACCCCAAACTTTAAAAACCCTGTTTTGCCTTCATGCCTGACCGGAAACTTTAAAAACCTGACGTGCGTCGTCGTGGAAGTGAGGTGAACCAACCATTACCAAACTGCTGCTAGCCTGTTAAGGATAAATGAGGTACACGAAGATGGCGTATAGGCGTCTTTGTCACCGTTGGGTTGATTGGATTCCGATGGAGTACGAGAGATTCTGTTTCTACTTTTTTTTTCCCGTCTTTGCAAGTCTTCGCAAACGAAATGAATATGAACAAGCAAGACCATAAAAAGCTAACCGTCTTGAAAATCCTCTCCGGCTGTCCGTTCACCGAAGACGTAGGAGAAATTCCATTCCAAAGAACTCGAGGACTCTGCACGCAAGGATGATCGCTCTAGTACCACGTCTTTAAGTCTCCCAACCCATCTCAAGAAGCGGCCATTAAAGTAGCAACTCTGCGCTCTCCTCCGGCAGGAGAAGGTATCAAAAGCATTGTGCAGTGTAGGTGAGCTTTTTCTATTTCCTTTTTTTTTTTTTTAATTTCTAATATATATAGTTAGCTTTCGGATGCATTGTGCAAGACTCAAGACTGAACTTTATCGGATTCAGGGAGTAGAGTACTTGGGCGAGTTGGCCTGGGTTGAAGCCAAGGTCAATCTAGGCCCATTCCTAAATATGTAAATTTACGGCTCGAGCCTGGTCCAATCCAAGCCCGGCCCAGTCCATGATTACCTCATTACCCCCTACTTAATGCCCACCACCTCATCCCATTCAACAATCAACATTGCTTTCGCTTCCCGTCAATCCGAATTTCGGAACTAATAATCGACTTTTCCCGCGAATCTGAACTGAGTGCGGAGATCTGCAGTCTGCAGAGCGATTGAGTGAAGAGTTTGTGGCGCGTGACTGCGTCTTGGTGCTTAGTGTTGCGGAAACAATGGGAGAAGAACGGCTGATGGACTCCGTTCGCTCCATAGTCTTTAAAGAATCAGAAACCCTAGAAGGAACATGCCCACAGATTAGAGGTTACGATTTCAATCGAGGTTTGGACTATGCTGAGCTTCTCAAATCCATGGCGTCCACCGGGTTCCAGGCCTCCAATCTGGGAGACGCAATCGAAGTCGTCAATCAGATGGTGACTTTCAGCTTCATAAATTTGGAAATTGCATTTTTCTTCCCTCGCTTCTCCTTTCGTTTCATATTCAGTTTAAGTTTTACTTTACTAATTTTATACTCCCTTTCACCACCTGCCAATACATTCTGAAGTTTTATATTTCTGAATTGTTTAAGTTGTTTTGAAGCTAGATTGGAGGCTCGCTGACGAGGTTCTGAGTGAAGATTGTAGTGAGGAGGAAAAGGACCTTAACTATAGAGAGTCTGTGAGGTGCAAAGTGTTCCTAGGTTTCACTTCGAATCTCATTTCTTCAGGTGTTCGAGAAACGGTTCGGTATCTCGTCGAGCATCGCATGGTGAGAAATGAAGGGGTGTGCGTGTGTCGTTTCGCGTTTTAAGTTTCCTGTTTTCCTTTCTATTTGTTTTTATTAGATGAGAGAAAAGTCCTAGTGAGTTTCGAATATTGATACTCGAACTCCATTATTTCTCATTTGCATCATAATGTACCTGCTCCGTGTCTGCGTTTTTGTGTGTGTTCATGTTTTCTGAGAATAAAGATATAAATTGAACTCTTCTAGTTCTATTTACAGTTCGTAACTAAATGCTAGTCATTACATGGTAACATAGAGTTTCTAACATGGAACAATGCCAACGTCGTTTAAAAGATCAATTTCAGCTTAAAATATGGAACCTCGTCAATATTATGTAAGAGGATCAGTTCCCGGCTTAAGCTGGAAAGTCTGGACGTAGATTAGAGGTAGTTTGTAGTCTAAAATGTGTACTCAGAAGCTGATGCATAGAAAAAAAAGCGAATACAGGAGTTTTACATTGCACTTGAATCACTTGATCTTATAGTGTTCAGTGAACAAGAATTATTAACCTGTTCTCTTGTTAGGTATCTTGAATATTTACTCGCCTTCTTGCTTTCACATGTTTCTGAGTGTTGTTCACTCAATTTCCTGAAGTTACAACCATATTGTGTTTGTTGCTTGTTAAGAGCAACTACACTGATGAAGAGTTGAAGATTAATCTATAGCATAGTAAGTTATGGTACATGGGTACTTGTATATGCTTAGTTTACCCATGTTACACATGATATGCATCCAATGATACTCTATACTGCACGAGCTTTTTTTTGATAAATGATATACTGCATGAGCATTTCTAGAGTACACTCTGTAGCATTTAACACTCCTGAAATATGCAAATGATATATCTGGACAATTCATAGTATAAAAATTTACATATATTAGAAGGTTAATTAACATGGCAATATATAAGCATTAGGAAGCAATACTTGGAAGAAATATTTAAGTATAAAAACATGGTATCAGCATTATTAAATGGGGTTCTCAAACCAGCATCCATACCCTGGAATTCAAGAAATAAAGCATCATATCTGTCTTTAAATTCTAGTAGTACATGTCTGTATCCTTATTTGAGCATCTTGGACAGTGGAAAAAGGAAGTGATCATATTTATGTGGCAGTTATTCTTGTTGTATTTTTGCATTATAATTTTGTCACTGACATTATGCTCTCCTTTGTTATAATGGTTGCAGGTAGATGTAGTTGTTACTACTGCTGGTGGTATAGAAGAGGACCTTATAAAATGCCTTGCACCCACCTATAAAGGTGATTTTTCTCTACCTGGAGCTTATTTGCGCTCAAAAGGTTTAAACCGCATTGGTAACTTGCTAGTTCCTAATGACAACTATTGCAAATTCGAGGATTGGATTATACCAATTTTTGATAAGATGTTGGAAGAGCAGTCCAAAGAGGTACTTATATACTTTTATAATAATTCCATGCATGTTATGCAATCTTTAGTCTATCATGGATATTCATCTTTCATTTTCTTTTCCCTTGTTTTATAAGGATTTCTTTCCTAGAGAATTAAATGTGATTTTCAATCACATTGGTAATGACTTCTATGCAACTTTCTTTTGGTCTAAGTAATATTATTTGCAAATACCTACTAATTCACATGAGACTCTTGTTAACCCACATTGCCTAACCCGGGAAGGGGGGTGGATTGGGTTCTACATGTTTTTTCCTCTCTAGATCAATACCTTTTCAAAACTTTGAGTGCTAAACAAGATATACAGAGAGCAATACAATGTAAAGTGCTTGTGTGATGAAGAAATGCAGTGTAAATGAATAACAATAGAATCAAACAACAACTATAAGCGATCAGAAGGCACAGAGAAGATTTATAGAGGTTTGGCCAGACCTAGGCCTACGTCCTCTCCCCAAGCACACCACTTGAGAGTTTCTAGTAAATCAGTTGGACTTCCCCAGTGCCAACAAAGCCATTGCAACCGGTTGGAATTCCTAGGTGCCAACAAGACCTTTACAACAGTTGCACTTACGGGTGCTATCCCAACCACTATTGTGTTCAATCATAAAACACCTGATTGCAAATACAATACAAATATAAACAAAGAAAGCATGGTGTAAAACCTTTACGAGGCTGATATATAAATACAACACAAACTATTCAAATGCAAGAGAAAAAGACAAATAATAATGGGCCAGGGCCACTGCACTAGAAGAGATTAAATGACTCTTGGAGATAATCAATGAAGCACAAATAGCTTTTGCAAACTTTTTTCTAAGGATAAAATCTCTTTTTTTGGCTTAGATTTCTTTATACATGATTGCTCTCTTGCTATTTCTCTTTGTGAACTTTTTACTCTTTAGCACAATACACTTCCATTTGATTTTCATCTCAAACTCATTTTATTAGCACAAATCATGCTTAAGGAGCATATGACTATTATAAATCCGTTGGAAAGAGATTTGTTCATTCTTAAAAATGTCCAGAGCTTACTTTCAACAAGATTGAAGTCTTACCTAAAGGGGAAAGAGTCGTTAAGCCTTCAAACATTTAAAAAACGTATTTTCTTTTGTGAAGTAGTCAGGTGGCTTTAATTGGTAGTCAATTGCTTCAGCCTTGTCAAGAGTAAGTAGTCGACTGATAGTCTCAAGTAGTGGACTACTGTTCACAAGAGAGAATCTTTACTCTTTAGTAGTTGACTACTACCTTTTGGTTGTTGACTACTTGATGCACACTGTTCTTGGTTGTTAAGGATAGTTGTATACCCCTTTTCACTAATCGACTACTAGCTAAAGCCAATGTGATATCAAGCTTTAACTGCCACATGTAGTCGACTATTGCTCTATGGGTAGTCAATTTCTCTGTGATATTGGTCTTGGCTGTCACAGGTAGTCAACTATTGCTTTATGAGTAGGTGATTATAGGATATGACCAACCTTAGAAACTTCAAGTAGGCAACTCCAACCATTCAAGAGTCAACTCCTTAGGCCTCTAGACTTAGAATTTTCACACTTAAGTTCAATGTGAAGTCTTGGGAAAGCCTAGCCATTTAACCTTTGGTCTCTAAGGTCTTGGCTAAACTGAGATTAGTCAATTAAGCCCATTTTTATGCATCCTTGCAAATGATTACATCAAGTCTTGAAAGATAGATAAATGATAATAATTAAAGCTTTGGAACTTCGTGCTTTCTTCTTTTTTGAAGAGTAATTTTTTTCTTTGATAAATATTAGCATTCTTCACTAACATGGTCATACAACATCTACACCTTTAAATAATTACTGAAACCAACTCATACAAAGACTCCTAGTGCTGCCCAACCAATAACAACCCTATCTTATCCAATATCCTTTTCCAACCAAACAAATCCAACCTAGTACAAGTACGTGTCTTGTGAAAATTCTAATGTTGTACACTTCAACAACTTGCTGCTATGATGGTATTCATCATTACTTATCAAGCTCAAGTTAACCAAGTGTAATTAGTTGATACATTATGCTACATTAAAAGTCTGCAATTCATGGCTATTTGTAAGAAGCAAAAAGCCCAAGGCAACAACAAAAGTGATTTTTTTTTGTCTTTTATTTTCATTTTCCTTCCTCCCCTAGGGTATCATGTAGTTTCATTAAAAATCCAAAAAAGAACTGCCTTAATAATGAGGCAGCCAATTCCCCCCTTTCTGATCTGTTAGTTTTTTTTTTTTTTTTTTTGGAAAACGTAAGGTAATTTTATTAGAAAATTAGAGATACAAACAGAAACTTGCCAAGGACAAGGCAGGATTGGGGACACCCCCCATTACAAACACCAAATCTGATCTGTTAGTTTATTGATTTAATGACCCATGCTTTTTTTTAATGATAGGTAATCCGTGCTTTTGTTATTGTTGTTTAATTCTTTTTTAACATTGATTTTTATTGTTATGTTTTCCTTTATTGTTTTCTTAACAGAATGTGCTTTGGACGCCATCAAAGGTGATTGCTCGTCTAGGGAAAGAAATCAATGACCAAAGTTCATATCTTTTTTGGGCATACAAGGTAGATTTCAACATGGAACTAGGCTTAAGTTCTAAATGTTTTAGATAAACACCTATATTGCTGCTAAATCTATTATAGTTATTATTTCTATTACTTTGCCATTGGTAGCTATGGGTGGCCTCATTGATTCTTTTTCTTTTTGTTTTGATTTTGAATGTATTCAACATGACTTATTGATATGCTTAGTTGGTATGGGGTGGTGGGAGGAAGATGAAGACCATTTATTCAATGAAGAGACTTCTGGATTAGTAATCTGTATGCTGGTATATCTGGCTAAAAGTGTATTACACTTATTGTCCATGAATAATAACCTTTCATTTCCTTTTTCCTGTTTCTTTTTGATCAACAAATTGAGGAAAAATGACTATTTTTGCATATGGCTTTCAGCATGAAGTTTTCCACATGCTGATGACCATATGGGCAAACATGTTAATCTATGTCAGGCCACTAGCTATACATGTCAAAAACCCTTGCAAAAAGAAGTCAAGAGCTCTTTTTTCCGAACTGTAAACTATTGTTGTCACATTTATAGTAGGCAAGGTTCTTTCTAAGAAAACCCAAGTGATCAAACAACTTTGGAGAAGACAAGTGTAGAGACAAAGGTTCACAAAGATCTAGGAGTTGTCTCCACATCACCTCGTTCAGGAAAAGGTAAGGAAGACTCCTTTTTTCTCTTTGGGGTTGAGAAAGAGTTGAGTGAATCTCTCTTGGGCGTATTTTGTCGGAGCAAAAGTGTGCTTTTCTCTGAGTTTAATATGGGGAAGAGTTCTGAAGTAAACAACCAAAGGAGGTGGGGGCTGTTTTTAGCTTGACTAAAGGTATGGATCAGGTCCTAGTGCTGATCCCTGAGGATGGTGGGGGAAGAATAGTGAAGGATTCATAGTCTTGCTTGGTCTTGATTCCTATCCCGAAGGAGAAGAGATTAGAGGATGAGGGAAGAACTAAAGGAAAAGACCAATTTGTTGGGAGATTGAAAGTTTATAATTGGAGAAGAATATACAGAAAAAGACCTTTGACAGAGAGTGTAGTTGAAAGGAGTCAAGATGGTGATTCTTCTTTAGATGAGGAGGGAAGCCTATGTGAGAGGAGGATGAGGAAGAAGTTTGCATAGATGAGACTCGTCAGATTGACAAAGATGTTGATATAACTAAGGTTGTAGACACGGCTGTGGAGGTAAATAAAGCTCTGGGCTTGTTCGTTTTGGGAGGTGAGTCTTTTACTAGGAGGACGTTCAAAGAACTAGAGGAACACTACATGTTGCCTGTTAGGGAGAGTGATGGAGGTTTTCATGTGTATTCATCACTAATCAATGAAGGCTACAATAATTGTGAAACCTGGTCCCCTCCAACAGAGGGTTGGATGAAGCTGAATTTCGATGGGAGTTGTCTGGGTAATCCAGGCCCTTCAGGTATTTGGGG